ACACACTAGCCTAGCAGCCTCTGAGCCCAGACACTATTAACTGAACTGAAGCCAGTCCTCTGCCTGGATTCTTACTGTTCCTAGCCTCTTACTGGACAGGGCACTATGCCTGCTTTGCTCTTACCAAGGACACGAGGGGCCTCACTGTGGACTCCAGGTATTCAACCACATCCTGGACTAGCCTGGAGCCATGACTCAATTGATTGAGGTCAAGGGGAGGCTTCAGGCAGCGACTGAACTTCTCCCGCGCAGCAGTGAGGTTCCCAGCTTTGAGGCAGGCCATGCCCCAGGCATGCCACGCCCCTGTGGCATCAAGCCCGGTCTTGGTAGAGACCTGGAGGAAAAATTGCTCCATCTGTGAGAAGGGTCTACCTTCAGGTCTAAGAGTCTTCCCAAGCCGTTCTGTTCCTTTGCCCCAACCACCGGGCCACCCTCCACGGGCTGTGATTCCCACACTGGCAAGCTGTTTGTGCCCTGGATGCGTCCATGATCCGGACAATGGAGAGCTGGCGAGGCCCGTTTCCAAGGCTGAGCAAAGGCCATTCGCGACAGTGGGGTAGGGTAGAAGGATGCTTTATCTTTGCCTCACCTCAACGCCCAGTTGGTAGTACTCAGCTTCCAGGAGCTGGTTCCTCAGTCTGGTTACTGCAGCTGGCTGCAAGATCTGGTCTAGAGACGGCACCTGGCGATAGGCAGCAGTGACTAGGATATGCAGGACGTCTACTTTGCTGATGTAACTGCAGGGAGAAAGAGGACACCGCAAATGAGGCCGGGCTGAGTTCTGGAGCAACCGTTGCTTGAAGGTTTTCTATTTCATCTTCAATGTTAACTGTGATCATGAGAACAGGTACTCCGAAGGTTCCAGAGTCAGACTCTTTTAACCCCACTTCAAACTTAATAGCTCTGAGACCTACCTCAACTCACTCATCTGTTAAGTGGATATAAAGCAGAAATTTTTAAGTATAAAATGAAATGTGTCAAATGAAGAGTTTCGGGTAGTGTCTGGAACTTGGGTAGCACTCACATTTTAGTTTATGTTTGAGTAGGGATGTCCTGGGTTTCTGTCTGAGACAAGGCCTCTATATTGAAGACTGGAGCTCACAAGTTACCCATTTGCTTTTGGCTCTTTGGAAACTTGCTTGGTTTCAAGAGGATATGGAACAAGAATCATTGACTCAGGCTGGAGAGATGGCTCACCAGTTAGAAACACTGGCTGCTTTTCCAGAGGACCTGGGTTTGGTTTTTAGCACCCACATGATGGCTCACATCCACCTGTAACTTCAGTTTCAGGGGACCTGACTCCATCTTCTGGATTCTGTACGCACCTGGCACACTTGTGGTACACATACACACACAGACCAAACATTCGTGCATATAAAATAAAAATAATTCTTCAGAAACAAAACACAACACCCAGTGACCCACATTCCTCGTCTGGACAGTGGAGCCGGCACCAGCAGAGGGTCCTTGGCCCCTTCTAGTCTGGGCTCCTGGACTCAGATTTTCTCTCCATGCCAAGAGTGGCCTTTCTTGTATCCCACTGACAATCTTACTCCTTACCCCTTTGGCAACCTTACTCCTGATACCTGAGGACTGGAAAAACCTTATCAATACAGAGCCCGGCGGGCTACACCATTCATTCTGCCAGATGTGGCAAGCTCACACCCACGGTTCCTGGGCTCTCTCTCAGAACTACAGCAGAAAACCTGTGGCTCCTGACTCGTCTGCTTAGCAGTTTTTTTTGATTCCACACCTTTAGTGATACTTAACCTGGTAGAGACAGGGTAGGAGAAAGGACAGTGTGCGAAATCAGATTCGAAGCCATACTTTAACTCTCCATTTGGAAAATGAAAACATTTGAACTAGATGATGTGTTTTTCGTTTGTTGGTTTTGAAATATATTCATTTTTATCTGTTTATCCATCAGAAGGGGGCATAGTTAAAAACACAATAATTTGGTTTGTAGGGTAATAGACAGCAGAGGAGAGTCCTCTCCCATGGATAAAATGACATGAAGTCATCATACGAAAGCATGTGAATGTAGGGTGAGGGAGAAAGAAGGTATGATTTCAAGTCAGTGCTGTAAATCGTCCGGGAATCCCACAACTGCTTGCAGGGGTGAGAACTCTGTTGGAGTGAGGGCTTCCTCGATCTCCGCCACCCATAGGGGCCCATGGGGTTAGCAGCCTTGTCTGAGGTTAGAGTGTTAAGAGGTGATGGAGCGGGCCTGTGCTCTGAGCTTGAGGGGGATATTTATGTTTCAAAGCACTCTCTGTCCCTGGCTCCCGGGTTGGGAACTGGTGCCAGCCTCACTTCATGAGTCATGTCTCTGGGCGGATAAGGAGGAATTAGGAGTTTTCATTGTCAGGTTAATGAATGGAGTCAAAGCAGGTTGCACAGGAATCTGAGGGAGAACAGCGGCCTGAGCACCAGTCACATCTTCCCTATTTCCACAGATGACTCACAATCCTACCATGAATCAGGAGCCCACTGCTTCCCCAATTTAAAAAAAAACAACACACTTCTTTCTTCTCGCGTGCGTGTTAGAGCATGCTGGCGCCACGGCATGTGTGTGGAGGGCACAGGGCGTGTGGGGGTCGGTGCTCTCCTTCCACCGTGTGGGTCCCAGGGATCAGCTTCAGGGAGTGAGGCGCGGCGGCCCCAAGATGTTTTTATAGACGCTTGATCCAGAAGTCCTAGAGGTCACAGTCAAGACTGGGGTGGAGTTCTGTGTAAGGTTAATCACTAAAAACCAGAGAGTTCCACAGACACAAAAGCTACTTCCCGCCAGGCGGTGGTGGTTCACGCCTTTAATCCCAGCACTTGGGAGTCAGAGGCAGGAGAATCTCTGTGAGTTCGAGGCCAGCCTGGTCTACAGAGTGAGATCCAGGACAGGCACCAAAACTACACAGAGAAACCATGTCTCAAAAAAACAAAAAACAACAACAAACAAACAAACAAAAAGCTACTTTCCTAAATGACTTTAATGACAATTTAATGACAAATTATCTAGTTAAGGTCCTTCCTTGCTTTGTGCAGGGAACCCATGTGCTGGCTAGTTTTACGTCAATTGGACAGAAGCTGGATTGATTTGGGAAGAGGGACTCTCAATTGAGAAAATGCCTCCAGAAGATGGGCCTAGACAAGTCTGTAGGGTATTTTCTTGATTAACGATTGATGTAGGTGGGCCCAGCTCCCTGGGGGAGGTGCCACTCCTGGACAGGTAGTCCTGGGTGGTATAAGAAAGGATGTGCAGTGCAGTGCAGTAAGCAGTGTTCCTCCATGGCCTCTGCTTCAGTTCCTGCCTCCAGGTTCCTGCCCTGACTCCCTTCTGGGATGGACTGTGATGTGGAACCGTATGCTGAATAAGCCCTTTCCTCCCAGAATTGCTTTTAGTCATGGTGTTTTGTCATAGTAACAGAACGCAGGTGAACACAATCTGTTTTTGAGGGCTCTGAAAAAGGAAAGGACACAGGCTGACAAAGGGCGAGGACAACCAGGTACTTACATTTCATTAACACCAAAATGTCTTGTTAGAGAGGATGGGAAGATGAAAAGTCATAGTAGGGTCAGAAGAGGAAGCCAGATAAAAACTGCCACCAGGTAAAAGAATGGAGGCTCACCTGGCGGCAGTGGCACTTGCCTTTAATCCCAGCACTCGGGAGGCAGAG